AGTAATAATAAGATAAACAACTTACCAAAATTTTTGCTGATAAATTTGGATCGCTTTCATTAACATCGATAGGTGAATTGTGATTGACACGGGTTCCTTTTGTAGCTCTTTTACTATTGTTGTTTGAATCACTTTCGATAGATGCATTGTGATCAACATGTTTTCTATTTTTAGGTTTACGGGCTCCGGTTCTATTATTAGTAGGAGCAGATGTATCTTGAGTTTTGGGAATTTCATCAAGTGCTGACCCTATAAGTTTTAAAAATAATCATTGCAAGTTTAATACGATGTAAAATAATAATAATAAGATAACAATTACCAATATCTTTTTCTGATAAATTTGGATCGCTTTCATCAACATTGATAGGCGCATTGTGATCGGCTTGCTTTCCTTTTTTAGCGTCGTTTGGATCACTTTCATCAACATCGATAGGTGCATTGTGATCGACTTGTTTTCCCTTTTTAGCATGTTTACTATTGTCGTTTAGATCACTTCTATCAACGTCAGCAGGTGCATTGTGATCGACTTGTTTTCCTTTTTTAGCTTTTTTCCTACTCGGTTTACCGACTCTGGTTCTATCATTAGTGGAAGTTGTATCTTGAGTTTTGGGCATCTCGCTAATATTAAGTGCCAGTCCTATAAGCTTTAAAAGACAGTCACTGACAAGTTTAATATAATGTAGAAAAATAAGATAAACAAACTTACTAATATTTTTTCCCGATAAATTTGTATCACTTTCATCAATGTCGATAACTGCATTATGTTCAACATGCATTCCTTTTTTAGCTCTTTTATATTGCCGTTCGGTTTACGGGGATTGATTCTATTATTAGTAGAAACGGTTGTATCTTGAGTTTCAGGGATCTCACTGATATTAAGCGTTGAGCCTGTATGTTTTAAAGATGATTATTGACTTGTTTAATGTAGAATAATTATAAGATAGGATAAATTAAGTTTATGTCTATAATTGATATGGCGACGAATCATCTCACGCTCTGCCCAATCACTGACTGTTACCGGGAAAGATGGGTTTTTTTTTCGAAACTAGTGCAAGATAATTTAAATTAAAAAAAAAAAAAAATATATATATATATATATATATATATCAAATGAAAGTTAACCCAAATCAGATTATAAGATCTTATTTAAGGATTTCAATTTGTTGATTTACCTTATCAATGCACTTATTAATCTCAGTAAGAGGCATATCGCGATATTCAGTAGTAGAACACAAGCGATAAAGTCTTTCGGCCACTATGAGTCTCATAGATTCCTGTAATTTCATAAAATTAAATAATTTATCAAATTCTGATAAGTTATAAACGACATACCACATAACCATGCCAAATTCTTTTTGGAATATGAAGAAAAGAAGGGATTTTTTGGTAATTTATATTTTTCTTCTTGAATACCGGCTACAAGAATACATAAATTGTAAAAAAAAAAAAAAAAAAAAAAAAAAAAAAGATACAAGTTAAACATTTATTGAACAATAACTTTCACCTGTTCGGGATCATCACTAGAAAATTCAGTATCAACGGAGAATTGTTGTCGACTTTGTTTTAATTGTTTTAATGGTTCTTTTTCAGCATTGTTACTAGAAAAGTCATTTATGATTTGTCCTTTTTTCGCTTTTTTTATTGTCGTTTTATTGTCAGAAGATTCGTCTTCGATAATATACCTCTTTTTTACTTTACTCGTTTCTATATTAGAGGTTTTATCATTGGACGATTTGTCTTCTAAAGTACGCACTTTATTTCCTTTGCTTCACTTATTTGTTGTTACTTTGGAGGTTTTATCAAAAGAAAATTCGTCTTCTACATCATGTACTTTATTTCGAGTTAATGGTGTTAATGGCCTTTTGTTTGCTTTTTTCGGCATTACTTCTTTCGCCGTGGAAATATCTTCAAGTTCAGAGATTCTCTTTTTAAGCTTAGCAATCTTTTCCGATATAGCCTCTTGTTCATAAATAGTTGATTTGCTGGTGAAAGAACCATTTTCTGAATTGGAAGAATCGTCTGACGTTTCATATTCCATTTTATTCATAACTGCAGAATAAAGTATTTCATAAATTCATATTAAACATAAATAAAAATAAAATAAAATAAAACAAATTACTTTAAACAAAGCCTTGCATAAAAAAGGCTATATTATTTTATATTCGCGAAAAGAAGAATAGGAAAATTTATAAGCGGGTAAAGAATTAGTAAAATTTATACACATATATAAGTAATTATTACTA